ACAAGGGAAATCAATATTCCGCCGAGGAAACTGCTCAGCCGCCGCTCTGCCACCGCTCAGGCGGCTGAGATGTTGATGGACTCCCCCAAATCCGCCGATGATGGCCTGTTTCAGAGATTCTTGCCGTACAATAACTTCGATGATGATGATGCAGACCCTTACTCCTCAGATCGTTTCAGAATGTACGAATTCAAGGTTCGGAAGTGCACTCGAAGCCGTAGCCACGACTGGACTGATTGTCCCTTTGCTCATCCCGGAGAAAAGGCCCGGAGAAGGGATCCCAGAGGGTACCATTATTCTGGTACTGTGTGTGAAGAGTTTCGTAAAGGCCATTGCAGCAAAGGGGATAATTGCGAGTTTGCGCATGGAGTTTTCGAGTGTTGGCTTCATCCAATGCGATATCGAACTGAGGCTTGTAAAGATGGTAAGAATTGTAAGCGAAAGGTCTGTTTTTTCGCGCACTCCACGAGACAGCTTCGTATTTTATCTGATAACTCTTCTCCTCCACTGATTTCTCCGGTTTCTATCGATTTGAACCATTGCTGTGTTCATTGTCACTCTATGATTGCTTCTCCAACTTCTACTTTAATAGGCTTGTCTCATCTGTCATCCCCTCCATTTTCGCCACCGATTTCTCCTGTCAAAACACCTGAGTTTTCGCGTCGTCCACTCGAATCTTCTGCTCTGAATGAATTTAGTTCTGGTGGGTTGAGTTACAAGGATGCCTTGACTGAACTTATGGGGAATTTGGAAGCCATGAATCTGACTGAAGGTGCTTCATCACGTGGGAATTTATTCAATCTTGATCCTGAACAATCCCAATTTTTGTTCTCCCCTTCGACCCGAAATCCTGCAGGTTCAAACAGATTCTTCAATGGGGAATTTTCAAGCAGGGATTTCACTGAGGCCAACAAGTACAACAATGAAAGTGGACCTGATTTTGGGTGGGTGAATGATCTTTTAACCTAAATAATTATTGATAAAAAGGATAATGGACCACAATATGGTAGCCATGGTGGTGATGGTGATGGAAAAACTGAAGGAGATATTAAAGGGTTTTTGTACACAATCCACATGTATGTACTCAATCCAAAGTGTGTGTAATATTATTTTGCTCAATGTTCTTAAGATTTTTGTTGATGTATTGGACTGTACTAAATGGTGTATGCGAATTCAATAATGTGGTAATTTCTGTATTTTAATAAATTCCAACTCTATTTTGCTTTTGTAGTTATTGATGAATTTAATTGTTTCAGTTCATCTAAATTCAGTTTGAGTTTAGTTAAATTTTATTTAGTTGTATAAATTAGCTTGCTTGCAGTTTAATTTAGAAACTTTGCTTATAAGCTTGGCTGATGACTAAGGAAAAATTAAGTCTCCATTAAAATTAATAATTTTTTTTTAGGAGAATCTCTCTCTTGTAATATTATTTTATAGAGGAAATTTCACAAAATGTCCATTTTTATCTAGTCATTTGCAAAAAT